AGATGGTGACATGGAGACAATTAATGCTAACTGCCCACTCACTTCCTGATTATTTGTTACACGTGCTTCAATGTTTTTAAAAAGAGAGGCTGCAACAGAATGGATCTGGAGTCTCATCTCTGACAGGTATAGACTGAAGTGAGTGGAGTTATCCTGGTGTAATCTAAGTTAAAAGGAATAAACAGGCCCTGTACTCTGTGTTGAAATTCTCTCATGAAATGCTTCCCAGAAATATCAAAGAATATTAAAGCTCTTTGGGAGCAGGGACTCTCATCCTGTGTGTGAACGGTGTCCAACACAATGGGGCTTGCTCTTGGCAGAGACCTCTAGGAGCTCAAGCAGTACATGTAATAACATCTAACTACACCTTCAAGACATGGTGCAGGGAAGTACATGGTGTTAACTCACTTGAGTGCCTGCCTAACCTGTGATTTAGAGGGGCCCCTCCCTCAGTGTTCAAAGGAGGAAATGAAATCTTCCCCAGGGAAGAAGTATCCCGACCTTCCAGAGGCAGGGGCTGTGTGTGTCGGATACGAAGGAGAAGCAGGAATTGCAATGCTTAAGGTTCAGTGCCCCAGTTTGGCTACCTGGCCTTTGGCAAATCACTTAATTACTCCGTTTTACAATTGCCCAATTGTCATAATAATTCTTTGCTTTCCCATAGCAGGGTGGGGATGGACAGAAGGAGAGCAAATTCTTCCTACCTTTATGATTACAGAATGCTTCAAAGTGCTGTGGTGAAAGGGCAAAGGGGCAGCAATAGATCACATTCATCTCTGCTGGCTGGTCCCTGAAAGCATTTACTCACCACACTGAGGCTTGCTCGCTGTGTTCAGTGGTAACTCCTTAAGGAAACAGTTTGTTTAAGGTAACGTTTTCCAAAGCACCCAGGTGAGTCTCCCAAATCCCTTTGAAAGGGAAGGAATCTCAGACATCACATTTCAGAAATAATACCTGAGCCCTCAGCTCATTTGAAAACATCTGCATCAGGTTTTTCTCCTGTGAAGAGGATGAAATTATAGAACCGTCAACTGACCCAAGGAATTTAATACTCATAATAGTAAAATCTAGGAAATTAATATCCCATAACTAGCATGTCACTGAGCAGAGAACTTTTCCCTTTATTGTAAAGATCCTATCGAAACCCTCAGCAGACTTGCCTGATTCACTAGCCATGAAATCTTGGTCTCATCCTTTGATCTTTCTTCAGATACTACTTCATGTAAGAATAAGGCAGACTCCCTTGGCTTGCCTCCAGCAGGGAGAGACTAAGAGAGTTTCTGTGCTTCTCTAGGCTAATTAGCCACTTGCAGGACCCCAGAGAGGTGTAATCCACAGTTTTCCTTCACTACATCCATTCCTCTAAAAGC